TCATTTCATTAAGCATAAACAATGTCTTAATTCATATTCCCTTGTTAGAACAACATAAATACATTTGTGATAAAGAGTTTGCGCCTGTGCCGCGTGGTGATTTAACTCCCATTATCAAAACTATTGATGAATCAAAAATTTTAGAAGACAATTTTAGTGAACATCCATTAAAACTATAGCAATGTAGTCCACGTTATTGTAGTTTAAAATTGAAAGACCCTAATGTTATCATTAGAGTGTGACCAATGATCTATACTAGACAAGATATAGATGAATTTGATATTCAACTCCAGGAACTTTTAAACAAGAAGTTAATTGAAGAAACTAAAAGCCCTTACTCTAGCCCAGCCTTTATGGTAAGAAACCATGCTGAAATTAAAAGAGGAAAAGCCCGAATGGAAGTCAACTATAAACGGCTAAATGAAAATTTAGAATTTGATGGATATTTTATTCCACGAAAAGATGTTTTGAAATCCACTTTTACAATCAAATTTGCTAAAGATTTTTGATCCTTTGGTTAAGTTAATCAAAACATCTTTTCGTGGAATAAAATATCCATCAAATTCTAAATTTTCATTTAGCCGTTTATAGTTGACTTCCATTCGGGCTTTTCCTCTTTTAATTTCAGCATGGTTTCTTACCATAAAAGCTGGGCTAGAGTGAGGGCTTTTAGTTTCTTCAATTAACTTCTTGTCTAAAAGTTCCTAGAGTTGAATATCAAATTCATCTATATCTTGTCTAGTATAGATCATTGGTCTCACTCTAATGATAACATTAGGGTCTTTCAATTTTAAACTACAATAACGTGGACTACGTTGCCATAGTTTTAATGGATTTTCACTAAAATTTTCTTCTAAAATTTTTGATTCATCAATAGTTTTGATGATGGGAGTTAAATCACCACGCGGCATGGGCGCGAACTCTTTATTACAAATGTATTTATGTTGTTCTAACAAGGGAATATGAATTAAGACATTGTTTATGCTTAATGAAATGGCTTTTTCCTGTATTTGCATTGAAAGGTATTTATATATAAAATTATTGCCAAGAAGGAAATCTCCACGCATATACGGAAAATATAAAATTTTTGGTATAATGAATTTGCTATCATTGAACCAAATAACTATACTTTTAGCCTTGAATTGTATGGAAGTATGGTTGCCATCTATTCCAGTAACCAAAATTGGATGTTTCATTAATGTCCATTTTTCCTTTGGTATAGCATTCCATTTACATGAGCTAATTGTAGCTCCTGTGTCTATGAGAACACTAAGGCTATACGGTTTGTAACCTGCAAAATTAAATGTTCCCAATACATATGTATATCTTCTTTTTCCTTAGCTAGGAGAAAAAATAATATCATCATTTTTTGTTTGAAAATGATACATATATGCGGACTTAATATGTTCAAGTTTTCTTGTTCTTGGAAAAATAGGAATCTAAACATTGTTTGAAGTAATTGATTCTTGATTAGAATTATTACTTAATTCTTCAATACTTAACTTTGAAAATGATTTGTTAGGAAAATCTTTTTCAAATACAGAAGTTGATTTTTTAATTTTTAGAACTGTATTTTCAATGTATAAATTTTTTCCTGATGTCTACATTTGTAATTGTGCAGGTTTTTTGGTTTTAGAAGATTCTCTTTGTCCCACTAGGTCTTGGATTAACCATTGTCGAGGGCCTTCTAAATCACTCCAATTCATTAGACGAGGTTGTATTACCGTGTCAAGTGGTCTTGGTTCAAAGATCTCAACGATTTTATTATCGTTTGATCTTGTTTTTGTTTCAGGAAATTTGGTTAATTCGTGAATTGTTTTCCAACAAATAACCAAATCATGAGAATTCGATTTCATTCTTAATTCTTGTGTTTTAATTCTTATTCGAACTGTGTCTTCAAGATTAGGATCGTTTATGGAAATAAAGAAATTTGGTCTAACATTAAACCAAACTACTCCATTAGCCAAATTAGACTGAATTCCTCCAATGATTGCTTTCACTGGGTTGGAAAACCTTTTATCAAAAATTACTGCCAAAATAGGAGTATCTATCCCTTGGCGAAATATGATAGGTGCCCAATTGCCCTTTTATGGATTTTCGTTACAAAAGGAATACTATCAGTAATATTATTTAAACTTGAACACACACTATTTATATTTGCAGATTCTTTAGTAATATGTAGACTATGATCATATTTATTATTAACATTATTTTTTGTATTTCCAAAGCATACTATATCGTCAGAATTAATTGCCATTTTAGATTGTTGTTGGTACCTAAGACCCTTCTAGTGTATTATCTGGTGCCTAAAACCTCTCTTTAGGATCTTAAAGACTTAATTATGGCCAATTGTCAAAAGATCTTAATGAGTATGTGGGCTTTGACATACACTAAGCATATAGGTTTTACAACAACTATAAATGAAACAAATAATTATGAAGATATAAAATACAAAAGATACACAAAAAACTTAGACGGAATTTTTAATTTAAATTTTTTTTTTTTTATAACATAAAACACACCATACAAACTTATATATATCAAAAATTTATACATAGATAGAAATACTTACATAGCTTGATCTTGCTTTCAAAAAGCTCTTCACCAGGCTCTGATACCAACTACAAAACTAAAAAGGAAAGGAGCTTTTTACTATTTTTATTATGGAATTATGGTGGAGTTATGGAATTAAGGTAGAGAAATTAGGGACAAAGAGGGAAGTTCAAAGATGGAGAGAATATGAAGAGAATTTACATACATTATTATGTTGACATAAAGGCCAATATATAGACTTACCAGGGGTGAATACAAGCAAAATATAATTTAATGCCTATCCAACTCCATATCTAACATATCTAACTTTGCAAGACTTTACGTCCAAAAATTATAAAATTTTTAACTCTTTAGGCAAGCCTAGTCATAGGCTTTTTGAAAAGTTTACCTAAAAGTAAATATAAAGAGACAAAAATAAATACAAAAAAAAAATTACAATTATTTACTCTTTATTACAGTTTTTACAATTATATACATATCAATAAACAGCATCACTAACTTATCTATCACCATAAGTTATTTGTGTTTCGCCTCCTTTGTAGGTCAGGAATTAATTCCTGTTCCTGTTTCCCTACTCTCCACTTAATTTTGTTGGAGTAATGCTATATAAACTAACAGATCTCGCTTAACTTTTTCTATTCCTATTTATGAGTAAAAGAAAGTTAGTCTGAGTAGAAAGAGTTGTAAGATTTGTTAGATTGTATATCATTTTCCATTTTCTTCATTGTTGGAGAAAAAGAGGAAGTCAACTCTACCTTGACTGAGGAGATGGAACGTGGCGTTTACGTGTCGAATATCGATACTAGTTACATACTTCCCAATAATGTCTAACCCTCGTTGAAACATGTCACGTTTTTTAATATTTATTTAGATAAAATATGATCCGAACACTTAGAAAACACATATCCATTACTTAGATATATATGAAACTCACTTCGCTTCAAAATAATAGTTTTTTTTTAAAAATTCAACTTTTTTTTTTGGTAATACAATTAGCACTTTTAAAAAATTGATTTTTAAAAATTACTCTTTGATAATACATTTTTTAAAAAATATCAATTATCATAATTGTAATTTTTATGTTGTTAATAAATTTTAAAAAATGACAAAATAAGAAATTTATATTATTTTAGTCATTGATTTTTGAAAATAGACTAATATTTTAAGACAATAAAAAATAGAATAAAAGACTAATATTTTGAAACGGAGAGTATAAATTTGAACAAAATAATTTAAGATATAATAATAAAAGAAAAACAAAAGAATTAGCATTATATTACAATTTTTATATTATTTTTTTAATAATATATTTATATCTATGACACAAAAAATATTTTTTTTAAAATAATATATTTATATCTATGACACAAAAAATATTTTTTTTAAAATAATATATTTATATCTATGACACAAAAAATATTTTTTTTAAAATAATATATTTATATCTATGACACAAAAAATATTTTTTTTAAAATAATATATTTATATCTATGACACAAAAAATATTTTTTTTAAAATAATATATTTATATCTATGACACAAAAAATATTTTTTTTAAAATAATATATTTATATCTATGACACAAAAAATATTTTTTTTAAAATAATATATTTATATCTATGACACAAAAAATATTTTTTTTAAAATAATATATTTATATCTATGACACAAAAAATATTTTTTTTAAAATAATATATTTATATCTATGACACAAAAAATATTTTTTTTAAAATAATATATTTATATCTATGACACAAAAAATATTTTTTTTAAAATAATATATTTATATCTATGACACAAAAAATATTTTTTTTAAAATAATATATTTATATCTATGACACAAAAAATATTTTTTTTAAAATAATATATTTATATCTATGACACAAAAAATATTTTTTTTAAAATAATATATTTATATCTATGACACAAAAAATATTTTTTTTAAAATAATATATTTATATCTATGACACAAAAAATATTTTTTTTAAAATAATATATTTATATCTATGACACAAAAAATATTTTTTTTAAAATAATATATTTATATCTATGACACAAAAAATATTTTTTTTAAAATAATATATTTATATCTATGACACAAAAAATATTTTTTTTAAAATAATATATTTATATCTATGACACAAAAAATATTTTTTTTAAAATAATATATTTATATCTATGACACAAAAAATATTTTTTTTAAAATAATATATTTATATCTATGACACAAAAAATATTTTTTTTTTGGGTTAATCCCTCATATATCGTATCTTGTATATTTTTAAAAAAATCGTGCCAACTTGTCGTATCTGTGCCATGTCAAGTGTGTCCCTGCTTCTTAGGGTAGCCTGACACGACACAGAGTGAGATAATCTTAAGCATGTGATTGTAAATTTGTAATCATACACTAATATTTATGAATTACTTGACCAACACTGTTCTCTGTGAATTTATGCAAGGAAAAATGAACTTTAAAAAAAAAATGCCAGTTTCCACCAACATATGTTGCGTATAGCAAGGAACAAATATTACAAGTATTTATTTTATGCCTCAAAATGAACAAAAAATATAGAAGAAAGAATTATTCTCACTAAATCTTGATATATAATCAGAATACCTTACGAGCCAATAGCAAGAGTTCTCTTGAGAGGAACTAATTAGCATAGACCCTTCGCTATCTACAGTAAGATTTCAAGTTGGTATATACTGTGTTGCTAGAAACTTGTAATGGCTTCACTTGTAAAAGGGAATGGGTAAGGTAAGCACACCAGCACTCCCAATATCAGAACTACAATCCCAAGAGAAACATACTTGTTGTCAGGGTTGGTGATTTCTTCGGAAAGTGGGGCAATTGGTCCTCTCTGCAAGAAGAATATCAGAGCTACCCAATAAAATGCCACATCATTAAACAAAGAGGATATTCCAAGCAGCGCAATGGAGGCAGCTGTCAAGCGAGCGGAAGCCTGCCAAAAATAAACTCGATCAAGTTCACTTCTTTTGCTATTCATTTCTTTCCCTTGTTTGTGATTGGGCCATTCATAATGAGATTCTTCGTAAATTACAAGTTTTAACATTGAAGCTTCCATTCGATGTAAATTGAAACTTAAATGGCATACCTTTCTTCCCCATATGGCAAAAGAAATTCTTCCCCCATCAAGCTCCCCTGCAGGGATGCTGTTGATGGCATTAATGAGAAGTCCTGCCCACGACCATATTACAAGAGGGTTGACAGATATTGGAGTGCCTTCCTTGAGAACATCACCAAGAAGAAGCTTTGCTGCAAAACACACAAGACAAAAAGGACGTTCCAATATCCATAAGGCTTCAAAAGCTCGCAAAACTGCGAACACATACCAATGACATGCCACAAATCTTTACATGCAAAACATGTGTGAAACAAATTGCTTACCTATACCACCAGCAAGAAATGACTCGTGAAACAGAGAGGCATCAATGACAAGACCTATACCATCACTGGGAGGCAAGATGAACCCCAGAAGCAAAAGGACAAGACCAAAGGAGAAGCCAGCTAATGGTCCTGCTGCTGCAACCTTCAGAAGATCCTCACGCTTGGGTACAATATTTACAATCCTAGTAATAGCACCAAAAGAGCCTATCTGCCACCAAAATAGGTCATTAGACTTGCTATATTCATCTTGATGGAAGGAAGAATAAAGAAAGAATGTCAAAAAATAATAAAGTATGCATTTAACAGTTTTTCAAGGACTGCAAAGAGAGTCAGATGAGATGATTCATGCCCTTGAGAGGCATTAGAATTTAAGCATAACTACAATTGAAAAAAAAAAATGAAAAAAAAAGAAAAGAAAAACAAGATGATTACCAAAATAACACATTTATCTGCTGAATATAATTTTTTTTGCAACTTCATTATAACACCAAATTTCCAGGAAGAACATGGGATGCCACAATCAGTTTTTCTGAGTATTTCACAGAGATTAATTCTACATAACATGACTCATGTCTCAAAAGGTAAATTAGAAAATCAATTTAGCGGCCATCACTGATCATTCTTCAACATTTGTACCGTCACTACACACAAAAGGAACCAGAGAATCCCATTATTAACCCAACTACACCCTCTGTTCACCCCAGAAAAATAATAGAGAAAAAAAGAAAAAGATTTCCAACGGGGGAGTCATATATCTCACCTGCCAACTTGGTACGAAGTATGGCACCCCAAGCTTAACTCCAGCATCTTTTGCAACTAAAATGTGGCTGATTTCATGCACACCCAAAATAAGTGCAGTCACAATGGCTCCAGGCAAGCCATCCTTCAATAAGTCAAGATTATCAAAAGTTGATCTGGGACATGACAGTACAAATGTTATCGTTAATTACAACCATATCAGAAATATTTTCCTATGAGAAAAATCAAGAAATTGGAAATCATAATGATTAGTTATAGAAAAATAGAAACATTTAAACATCATCAGCACCTATTCTTTCTCTTCTAATGATGAAAAACAAACTTTACTAAAGGAACACTCACTCACATGTTGTGGAGTTTCCTCTATAGTCTTTTAACACAAGTTCACAGGCAAATAACAGTTTTTTTTTTTTTTTTTTTCCTTCCCCATTTGCATCGTGCTGTTTGATTTTATTCGAATGCATTTACATAGAAACAGATGGGAGTTCCCATGAAAATAAAGCTGAACATTGCATTTGTTATTACATTTAAACCCTCATTTTGGTAGGGTAATATATAGCGCATTATTATTATTATTATTATTTTTGGATCAGTAAAAGTCAGTTGTTCTGATCCCCAAAAGTTTTAGTAAACAGATTATTATGTTTCTTTTGACATATGCAAGGTCATAGTGAATGTTGTTCAAGTTTTATGATATTTTGTCTTCCCGTTTCTTTTTAGATTTGCTTTTCGTAGTTAATAATTTTTTATGTGCAGAGGATGGTCATTTCATTATCAAACATACCATTCAAAGATAATGAAAAAAAAAAAAAATACAAACATAATAAGAATTTTTGTAAATGTACATTATTTTCTTTTATCTTTGTACCCTAGATTATTTTATTCAAACTTAGTTTTGTGTGTCCAAGTCATGGACACCTGTGTCGCCCAAGTGTCTACAGAATGTCTGGATCTAAAAATTAAAAAAATAATAGGAAATGTTTGGATGAGTGTCCAACACGTGTTGGGAAGTGTTTGATCAGTGTCGGTGTCTGATACAAACACAACACGGACATGCCACCTTCTTAGAAGTGTTTGTGCTTCATTGACTAATACTTGTAGTGGCATAGCTAAGAATTTATTTCTAAGGGCTCATTGAACAAGTTATCGTCTTCCAATATCAATATATGACAAATTTTGCTACATATATACATTAATAAATACCAACAGTTGGTTTTAAATTGAATATTAGTTTCCCTAAGTTAATTTAGAAGACAAAAAATTTGCTTTTATGTGTTTTCTTTTATTCCATTGGGGTCAATTTATTAAACTCATAAATTTGCTTTTATGTTTGTTGATATCACTGGGTTCACTTTGTAAAATCTCAAAAAAATTAGAAGGAATCTAAATATACGAAAAAAAATTTGAACCTTCAGTGGTGTCACTTCACACCACTAGTAATGCTATAGCTACGCCCACGGCTGCACATAATCTCTTTTACGTACCTTCTTGTAAGTAGGCCTGTCAATGGATCGGGCAAAACCCAAATCTGATCTGATTAATCCGATCCATTTGTATACATCCAAATTCGAATATCCGATCTGCATAACCCGAATTAAAATGGAGTGGATTCGGATAAATCCGATCCAATTACATTGTTTTACCTGGAATATGTTGATATGAACACCATCTGCAATTTTCTAGCACTCTCTTCGATCCTTCCACGTCAAGCTCTCCATTGAGGTTATCACAGTAAGCCCGATTGTCTTATTGATTCCGTTCCCCAAACAAGAAGCAATTTCTTTCACTAAATAGGTTAATCGCTGCTCTTTCTTCTTAATTGAATATCCCATCGAGTAAAGGAATGACCTACTTTAGGAATAAATCCAGCCATAGAGCACTCTGCGCTTTCGTCCCGAAACTCCCCTATCTCTTAACACCTTCTGACAGGCATAAATACAGGAATGACTCTTCTCCCCAAGAGAATCTGTATCCTTATCCTTTTTCCTATTTTGAAAGGCCCTCTTCCATAAGCCCCATAAAGCATGACAATAACGACACCCTACACAACGGCTGGAAAGGAGAAAGAAAGGACCTTTATCAATGATCTGTGCCTAGAATGCGTTGCTAGATCTCTGCTCTAGAAAGCTATACAAGCAACAACGAACGTGGTTTGACCCGGGGCTTCCCTTTCATTACTTCTTTCAATTCAATTTCATAATATTCATATACAAAATATGCACACTCAGATCTAGATTTCAAACTAGTTTTTTGCTCTAATTTACATAAATACTATGAAACATTGAAATTTAGGTACGGGGTTTAGATCTGGATTTTAGTTCAGGATATTCTAATATGATGAAGATGAAGGCAACATTTACCCTTTGATGATGTTTTCATTTCAATCAATGGAGTCCTACCAGCAATGAACTAAGGTGAGGTTTGAATCAAAGGAGTCTTACCAGAGTCTTCGTGGGTGTATTTGGATGGTTGGAAGATTAATATAAATAAATAAATGGATCGAATCGGATTTGTTGTTGGATATCCATATAAAATTGAATTCGGATTCAGACTACTCACTGTCGGATTTTGCAATTCGGATTCGGGTTAACATGTAATCAGGTTGGATTTTTCCAAACCCGGCCCAGACTTGATCCGTTTACAATCCTACTTGTAACAAAATTAACAGAAATAAAAAAAATAAAATAAAATAGGGGAGAAAGACCCACTTTGAGGGTGAAGACCTCTAATTGGTTCACATAGAGGACAACCTGACCTCTTGTTCTTCACAAATGAAGAGTTTTGATAACATTTTTCCTTCCCTCTTTCATTAATAGATCTGATTTATATACAAGGAAATTCAAAACCATGATCCGATAACTACCCACTAGCCTACTACCCCATGACCCCTACCACTAACTAATATCTAATAAACAATAGAATAAAATATTTAATAGAATGACATACATAACATTCCTGCCCTCTAAAACCGCCCTCAAGGTTGAAATACACAAGCATTACAAATCCACCAGGATCCCATATTTTGTATAACGAAAGGATAAAGTGAAAACATTTAACTTCTTGCTTGGTTTTTAAACATAGCATTAAAACTTGTACAGACTCTTTTTGGCCACTTTGAACCAGCAATAATGATTGTTAATTTTCCATCAAGAAATCATCTTTATTAAGATTTTCCTTCGTGCTGTTTTCAACCATCTTTTGAACTTTTTCATCTTCAAGTGTCTTTATTGGCATTTTGACCTCATCTAGAGATTTTTTGAACTGCTGCTTGATCTCAATCATATTAGAGACAAATATTTTGATTGTTACTATATCTTCATGCATTGAATCCATGATATCCGATGGTGTAGCCATTGCCAAGGGTCAACTTGGCTCTAATACCACTTGTTACATACCTTTTTGTTAACAAAACTAACAGAAATAAAAATAAAAGAAATAAGGGAGAAAGACCCACTTCGAGGTGGGGAAACCTCTAACTGCTTCACATATAGGAGAACCTCACCTCTTGTTCTTCACAAATGAAGAGTCTTGATAATAGTTTTTCTTCCCTCTTTCATTAATAGATATGATTTATATACAAGTAAATTAAAACCCATGATCGAAACCCATGATCCTATATGATAGGATAACTACCCACTAGCCTGCTACCCCATGACCACTACCACTAACTAAATATTTAATAAACAACAAAATAAAATGAATAAAATTTTTAATAAAATGACATACGTAACATAATCTGATGATAATGATTTCCATTTCAGAAAAGACACAGAGAGAGAGAGAGTATAGCAATTACAGGACAGTAGCTAATACCTACCAGTTGTTTCTGGTTGCAAGGTCTTTTTTGGAACCACAACAGCTACTGGTTTATCATCCTCTGGATTGATTAAAAGGAAAAGCTTATATTGATCCCCAAACTTGTCCTGTGGAGAAAATATGCATTCATCTGAAGTGAGTAAATCATTGGTGATGGACCTTTCAAACACTGTAACACAGGAAGAATAGGTACACCTACTTCCATCCTCTTCATTATCTTTTCATAACTTCTAGCAGCCTGCCCTCGCAGGTTTCCCTTAAATAATAATCCACCCTACCAAAGTAGACCAAAGAACCTTATGAGAATGAGGTCATTAGATGGGAAGAGGTCAACCATATGAAGCATATCAAATCAAGAATCATTTCATGAATCAAAATTCTAATTTTGCGAATCGTGAATTAAATCAAACTGAGAATCATTAAGATTCAATACAAACTATAAAAATTATGTTAAACAATTGTATATATAAAAATAAATTAATTTTGACACATGTTATAAAATAATCCTTATATAAAGACATGTTTACACCGGCTAATTGGGAAGACATTGTCTTCATAGGAAGATATATGGATTCAAATCCCACAAAGCATAAAATTATTTAAAAAGCACAATATAATATCTTGTGACATTCAAAAAAAGGACCTAGGAACTCTACATATAGCGTACAAAAAGTACAAAGAATTAAGCAGAATCATTTTTTTTAAAAAGGTGTTTATACTTATTGTTCAATTTAAATTTTTTTTTCTTTTTTTTTTAAATATGGTGGTGGAACCATTGGGTTTGACCTTAAACATAGATAATTCACGGGAACAAATTACTTTAACCATAAACAGCCTCAGAAAATATATTATGACACTTTTTTAGGAAAAAAATTGAGAAAAAAAGTTCATGTTGGGTTTGAGTGGATCCAATTGGTTCCTATTAAAAACTCTCTAATCACTAAAATAACAAATCGTGCATTAAGTATGAGTTATTTTACAAGGTAAAAAAAGTTAGAATCTATTGGACAAGATAGCTTCAAGAATTGCATGAATCATAAAAAGTGAATCGAATTGTGAATCGCGTGTGAATTGTGCAACGCAATTTACAATAGATTCTATCCCAAAATAGATTCGCCCATATATTTGCATCACTCTATGCCTAATTCAAAAATCATAAGATTTTAATAATCAAGAGAGAGAGACAGAGAGAGAGCATCAAAATTATAAATAAAACCAAAGACTGGTTATTTTCTTCTCTTTCTCAATATTATCCCAATAAAATCAATAACCTAAGTAGACTTTCTAATAAAATTATAGGTGGTTGCGGAAAGGTTGCCTTTCAAATTCATAAGTAATTGGTTGTTGTTGATAAATTTTGATGGATTCCAAATTCAATCATATCTCAAATATTTCGACATTCTTCTTAATCCATTCGTAATTCCTTTGGGTTTCATTGTAAATTTCCCCCATATTACCAAGCAATCCATTTAATCAACTCACCTCATACGGCTCCTGACTTGTCACAAAAAAGGTGTCAAAGCCGAATACATGGTCCCTAAGAATTTCAATTGTCGCCTTTGGTATCCTGATTAATTCATCAAGTTGCTGTGGCTGTTCATCAGATTTGGAGAGAAGAAAGGATATAGTAAAACCAACCAAAGAAAAAGAAGGATAAACTAATAGTTAGTATAATAATCATGTTTCTATACTGAAAACATTACAGCTGTGACCATAATCACCTTCACACCTGGAAGAGGGGATCCACTTGCAACTTCTACATTATCTCCAGCCTGTTTCAAAACAATTGTGATGAAAAGTAAAGTTGTGCCCAAAAGAATGAAAGCATATTGTTTAAATAAAAACCAGTTTATTCTCATTCCAAGACAGAATAGAAAGCCAAAAAAAAAAGGTAGTTAATATTTTGGGTAGACATTAAAAACTCCTTGACATTACTATCGTCTGGTAACTTGATTTGCAACAAAAAGCTCAAGATTCATGGTAAAAGCAAGATGGCAAACTACCACATTGTGGGCATCAGGATTCAGGATCACCCTCACTACGTGGCAGGCCCCACTAGCACCATTTCATCCCCCACGCAGGAAATACAGCCTCCACGTGGCAAGCCCCAAGAGGTGCCATATCCTAATAGATTATTGGGGTCATGTGCCTAGCCTAAGTTGTGGCAAATAAACCACCCAAGTATGTTAGCTTGGCCCACTAACACACTCGGCAACGTTAGTCTACTACCAATATACCAAGTGAATGAGCCAAAGCAAGGAAAATCCTGAGGCGAGGCCCAGAACACCGATCAGCTACCCTTGCTCGGTAGTGACATGGCCCTTATTGGCTTGGGCAAATGGAGCTTTTCCCAGGACATGCTCGTCCCCATAGAGCATTCCAAGGCGTGGTTGAAAGTACACTTAGTAAGCTGAGGCACCTCTGGTCGGCCACCCTTACTCAATAGCAGTATAGCCTAAGACCTTCCTAATCCTTCCTGGCTCAGACAGAAGCATTCCGCGTCAGATCATGGCTCCCTATGACTTCTACCCTATGGCAGAGACTTTTACATAACTAATGACGTAGGACAATGCAGATGTTTAGGGTTTCAAAAGGTGCACCAAAAGGATAGGGTTTTACCAATCAAAGATATGAATTTTGGGGCTGTTACGGGACGGTTATGAGGCTGTGAACAATGATTTGGGAACAATAACTATGCTAAATTTATGCAGGAATTAAAGAAGAAAGAAGAAGAAAAAGTCTAAGCATCACACCTAGATTCCATAGGCATCACACCTAGGATTAGGGTCGCATAACACATATCTAAAGAGGCTTCAAAGTTCTGAAAATTCTATAAAATATCGACTCTATTAAATTATAATCAGTACATTACGTTATATAGACTTTAAAGACTTTATTTACTAATTAGGATTGTGACTTCCAAAACCCATCTAAGACCAAATAAGACACATAAACAAAACCAACTAAATAACTTGACCGATAAGACAACCCATGGGTGACTTTTACAGCCCATATCAACAAATCTAAAGATTACCAAACTACTCCTGACCTAAATGCTCTAGAAAACATAAAATAACTATAAAATAAGACTATAATAACACTAGAAACGTAATTATGTATGGTTCTAGCATCTTATACTTTGCATCACCTAGCCACCCACCACTAGAGATCATTGGAGGATTGTGGCTTGGAGGCTAGGGTAAGGGGATTTGCCAAGATTGTCTAGTTTGCTCCAACATAGGGAGCAGCCCAACATAGGGAGCAGCCCACCTTGACCAGTCTAAGAGAGAAATGGGCATTGACCTAAACATCTGAAACCTCGGATGGAGTATCATATTTACAAACAAACGTCATGACATGGTACATCCCCCGAGATATCATATGTAGTCCCATGATATAGACCCAAGGTTTGAATCCTAAGATGTAGGCATATTACCTGCATTCTGTCAAACCAAGGAGAGTCGGCAAAGGCTTGGAAAGTGTCCATTGTCTCATGGGGCAAGCTTACTTGGTGGAAAATAGAAGTAAATGGTTGAAATACTTATTGCGAATGTAACCTAAGCAACATTGTAGTTTCCTAACGCGGTCTACCACCTTAGATAAGGGGGGCAGCCATGCAATGTTGATCATGGATGTCCATTGTCACCTTTTCTCTCGCTATGACTGCTTTAGTTCCCTCCTCCTTCAAAAGGTTACGACCGCTGTCTTCCCAGAAGGTTACAATTGACTACCTCACTAGCCATTGCCCACACTTATTATAGGAGCTCTCACATGAACTTTCATGTCTACCAACATTGTCAACAATTAATAATCACATCACATATCTGAGTGTCAGTCTTAATTAAGAAAAACCTTTACACTTCACTTATCCATTTTCAAAGAGAGCAATTTAACAAAGTAAATCCTATCAGTACGAATCTAACAAAATCAACTTATTTGCTTAAATTAAACATATATTCTGTTTAAGCAATATGAAGAATACAAATTTAAACTACTGCATTTCAAAACAAGTTACCATGAAAGGAGTTGTTATAATCAATATAAGAAGACCCAAATGTTACGAAATACCTCTGTGCCACCTTGCACCTTGATTTCTCCACCATTATCATTTATTGGGTTATTTGAATCAATCATCCCTGTCCCAACGGACTGGTCCTTATTCCATGAAAGAACCATGCCCACGCAAGCAGATATTCAAATAATTGAAACTTCACATTTTCAATAGGAACTTAACGTGAGATATTAAAATTTTATATAAATAGTTAGGCATTATAAGAATTACTTGATCAACAACAGGCGTAATTGAATCAGTCGAAGCCGACATTTCACCATCTTCATGTACTCCCTTTTCCTATAAAAAATTGACATTACATTCCAAACTTGTTATAGTTAAATTAAACTTATAGATAAACATATATACACACACAAATATATATGACTGATACAGTGTAAAAGTAAAAGTAGAAATGGAGGAAGTACTTTGTCATTTTCGCTTTCTGGTTCGGTCTCAGTCTCAGTTACTCTGCAAACAACATCTCGCTTCCCATGAAACGCTAACCTAACACCATAAATTGATAAAATTAGAAAGAAAATATGAAAAATTGTGAGTTCTCACAGAGACAAGAAGCAAACATCGGTACCTGGAGACTTGGTTTGGGCGAGAATTGATCCATTTTTGGGGAGTAGAGAGCGAAGAAACAATGGATGGAAAGAAGCGGTGGTCACAGTAGCAAGACTGTGATGATAAAGGAACGAAGTTCCCGCCAAAACTCGCTGGTAAATTCATGGTGTTATATGGTCTCGGAGAGGAGCTTAGTTTGGAGAAGACGACATTGGAAATAGGAAAGCTAGGGTTTCAGGGGACGAAGATTGAGGGTGGGTTGGTAATTTTTGTAGACAAATGTGGGGGGTTTTGTGTGCTGGAGAGGATTAGAGTTTCAGAGGTTTAAAATCTTATCTGGTGGTGCAGACGACGAGGAGGATGATGATTCATTAAAAATAGAGAATTATTCGTTTTCAGAAGGGAATACCCGCCTAATGTTTCTCTCTCTTCTAATCGAATGGCTAACCTTCTACGGCAAATCAAAGTTGGACACGTGTAATGTCAAAAAAACAAAAAACAGTTGGCTGGTGGAGGTTTGGGCTTAGAAGGCATAATCGTTTGGGCTGGAAAACATGTGGGCTCGACTCATAGGCTTCGTTTGGAGAGTTGGGTTAGCTTTTTAATTATTTTAATTTACGTTATAAAGTGCTCGTTTGGCAAGTTGAGGTTTGAGATTTTTTTATTAAAATAATTATAAAAAAATAAAATAGATTTTTTAATTCAATAAGACAAAACATCACATTTAATTCATAATCATTACATTCATTCTCTCATAAAAAGTTAAAAAGTCCTTTCCAAACGAGACTTTTTAGTCCTACGTTAAAATAGTCAAAAAAGCAAAAAACCAACCCACTTCTTAAATGAACCCATAGTTTGTTTGGGTTAGCTTTTTTAATTCATGTGAGAGAAAAAATAAAATGATTATGGTTTGAATGTGATATTTTGTCTTATTGACTTTTTAATCTGTTTTATCTTTTGTGGCTAAAAAAACTACCAGCCTCAAAAAAGCCGGATGCCAATGGAACTCTATTTATGGGCCATAGAGGTGAACATCTGCCTGGTCTAATAAGTTTTTTATTTTTATTTTTATTTTTTCAACTTAAAAACTTGTTTGAATTTTGAATTTGTAGAGAAATATATATATATATATATATACTTTCTTTTGACAAATCCAAAAAAAAAAAAAAGTGTCATGTTGTGTTTAGTTGCCTCATAAAAAATTGATGTAAGTAGTTTATCTCCATTTTCTTTTATTTTCTTTTGACAAATCCAATACTAAGTTTAGCAACAACAAAACAAAAGGGTTTCATTAGTATTTGATTAGAATTTTTCTTTTTTGGATGATGAAATATATGAAGTTTAATATATGTTTGGCATTGAGGAACTCGCACCTTAGATTAGGAAAATGCCTAAAAAATTGTTCTACTTGGTTCCATTTCAGATACCGAATTTTATTACTACACGTCACATTAGTGAACAATATATATATATACATATATTTTTACAAAATTTATTAGTTTGTGGACTATTGTTCAATAAAAATTAACCCCTACTGAACAAAACCATCACAATTGAATAGGAGCCGAGATGCATGCTATCATTGATCCAACAGTAATGCTATGTGCACTGAAAGAATTGTATAAGTTTCCAAATAATTATCAAAGGAACATTTTCCAAAAGAAAAAATAATAATAATTTGTTTTCCAAAATGCCTCCATGATTTATTTAGCTTTTATTTTGCTAGTATTATTTCAAAAATATGGTGTGAACTTAGTATTGTACGAACTCCGTAAAAACCTAATTACAAATATGAATATGTAGGTTGTCCCCTTGGGTTCAATCCCATGTCCCAATTTTTTAAATTTATTCAAACTTTATAACGGATATAGCCAGACGAATAGCAAACTCTCTCAGCATACATGCCAAGGACTTATTTGACCATGCCATCCGGAAATATGTTTGGACTTGATTTCTACTATGAGAAATTGTTTTGTATGCCAATAGGGTATGAAATGGCATTACATTTTCGTCAATTATAAATATATATGCCTTTTAATATTCTTCAAACCTCCTAACAATATGGTCCATATTTCACTACGACTCAGTCTAATATTTAGTTTTCAACAATGGATTAAATCAAAAATACTTGATAAACCCATGCAAACATCAATCAAACTAATCAACTAGAACCATGATAATATTTATAATAATAAAGATTGAGAGATCTACTTTTGAAACTCTAAAAAAAGTTCTAATGATGTGGTAAAGAGTGAGACACACATGTGATGTGATATGTGTGCTTATGTTTTTGTTTTTTTGTTTTTTTTTCTTTCTTTTGTCACATCATTAGAACTCTCTTTAGAGTTCCAAAATTAGAGTTCTTTATCATTATTGTATTTATAACTTTAATTAATATAATTATTTATTGTCATGATTAATGTTGATCCATTGAAATGAAGGTGGAATTAAGAGTATCATGGCAAAGTATCTATCTAACACATTCTCTATTCGTAAACCCCTTAATCCAACTCTTGTTTTCTCATATCAAAATTTGGAGCCATCTAATCAGAGCTTGTAGAACGGGAATTAGTAAAATTCAACCATTTTGGTTTAGCGTTTTTAAAAACAGTTTTCTAAATTTTCAATCCATATTTTTTATTTTTAGTGAATTTTTAAAAATATTTTAATCAATATTTTAAAACAAAAATTAGATCCACTTATTATAGATACACTTAAAAAGTACAAAAATTGTGTAAAAATCTTTCAAAAATTCATTGAATACAAAAAAACAAAAATAAAAAATCAGTAAATTTTTGTATTTTTCTTGTATTCATTGATTTTTTTTAAAATTTTGTATAAATTTTATACTTTTTAAGCATATATACTTTAAATATATCTAAAGAGTAAAAAAAAAAAAAAATTACTTTAAAATGTTTAAAAAATAACTTTAAAAAAATACAAATTCAAAATTCAAAAAACTATTTTTAAAAATTTCAAACCAAAACAAATGTGTTTTGCAAAATTAGGCATTTTCCCCCATAAATTAGGTCCGGGTGCCTTCACGCACCCAAACTCTTATTAGGTGGAAACTCTAATAAATTAGGTCCGGGTGCCTTCACACACCCAAAATTAGGCATTTTTTCAATAAATATTTTTAAAAATCTTTTCAGAAATCTAGTTCTGTCCTAGGTTACACCGTCTTTTGGAAAGTGGGTTATAATCCACTTTCTAAATTATAATCAACTTCTTTCTCTCATAAAAAAATGATTATAATTATCTTCCTAAAATAACCCTACATTTATGCCTATTTTGAGAAGATGGTTATAACTAGCTTTTTGGTGAAAAACTATTTATAAACAGTTTTTTTTGCCTATTTTAAGAAGATGATTATAACTAATTTTTTGATGAAAAATTACTTATAAACAATTTTTTTATAAAAGAAATTCATGGCTTGAAGCTAAGATCTCTTCTGATCCACTAGTACACATGCGTACTCCCGAGGTCGAGCAAAATCAGGGCGCTACAAACCTAGTGCCCAACTTTACCTTGGCCTACCTGACTTAATGCTTGTGTCACAAGTACGCAAAATAAGAAACAAACTTGTTAAATGCTCCAAAAATTTCTATGCTTACAAAATAAATCTTAAATTTTTAATTTTATCAATTTAAATCCTATATTTTTTGTGTGTTTTCAATTTAAATTATTTATTTATTTTCATTAAATAAAATCAACAAAAAAAATAATATATTAGTCATTAAACTCAATAAAAATAATATTTTAGACATTTTATATATATCTATAAATTATTTTTTCATCAATTGTACTTATAAAAATAGGCTTATGATTTAGATTTAAAACAATTCAAAAGATTTGAATTTAATTTTTTCTTTTTTTCTTTTTTCTTTTTTTTTGGATCGGGTGGTTGATACATAAATCTAGCTCTTGAAAACATAATCAAGTTTCAGTCTATAACAAGTACATCTTTTGTTTTTGCCTTTTCCCACTTATATATGTAATTCTCCCAAATGTTATTATTCTATTTCAAATGGATTTGTAAAGAAATTTGTCACGTCAATTTCATATTTTTAGTTTGTTGATTAGTTTGTCTGCTTATTTGTACAAACTTTACTCTCTTTTATTTTTTTATTTTATTTTTTTATTTTTTTATTTTTTTTACATTTTAGGATTTATTATTTGAAGGGTATTGATTACAATTTGCTGGTGTGAAATTTGATTGTTCATTTTAATTCCTTGCCGTTTAGGTTTTGAAACCAGTTTTGTGTTTTGTTTACTGCTTTGTTTTGTTTAATTCATTACACATATTGTGTAACTTGTTAACAGACTTCAATTTTATTTTTATTATGTATTAGTGCTCAAATTAGGTTTGTTTAATACAAAATTATTTACAAATTATTCAAAAAAATTGTTTGTACAGAAAAAAATTATCCTGTAATATTTTTATTTGAATATGTTCAATTAAAAAATTTATTATTTCTGGTCTTAGTTTCAATCAGATTGTATTATTTTGGTTATACACACTTTGATATGACTTGTGAATTATATTATCACTATGGGATTGACTTTCCTCCAATCCAATCACGAACTGAAGAGTACTGTTGGGCCTGTGGAGACCCATCACAAATCCCGTTTCGATAATCCGAACCGTTCAATATGCAAAACTCGTCGTTCAATTTGTTAGTTAATTGAATATTTAAGACGCTTCATAAGTGTTCTGACTATTTCAAATTTTGAAATCATAAATGAAAACATGTATGGCAGCAGAGATTTTTATTTTTCTATTTACACTGCCAACAACCGTGAAGCATCAATACAACTATATGAGAAAAAATAAAAAGTGTTGGTCACAAAGGATTTAATAATTAAACATTAACCATTGTAGATAGATGCGGAGTCACATCTCAAGGGATTAAGGTCATAAATTGGTTAGTGAACAATGTTGAAACCTATGTGAAGTAAAAAAGAATAGTCAGGGCTCATCATTGCAGGGTTTGAGAAGGATCAAAATTACACAACCTTGTTCCGATGTGTGGTGAAGGTGTTTCTGTGAATTGAATCCGTGACACTCAAGTCGAAAGACCTTACTAATATTATGCCATGTCAAGCTGATAGCACACCCCTTGAGTAATTTAAGGTTACTAAAATATATTTGATTAAAACAAATATCTTCCTATCGTAATAGTAATTAAGACATATTTGCTAGGCTTTATATGTAATACATTCAACAAACATTTATATCAATACAAATAGAGTTGCAGTAACTATTTCCTTTTAGTGCCCAAGGAATTATCAATGTTCACCATCATCTGCTTAAATATATACGTATTTTCATGGAAGAACACATTAGGCGAAGATGATGATAACTCCCAGTACATGATACACGAGAGATTGTGTTGCAATGGTATGATAATCTTAACTCACTAACTCAGTGATGTTCTAGTAGTGGTGGGGGTTTGCACTGGTAGCACTTGGCGAAGAGCCCAAAGGTGTCAATTTGGTTAATTAAATTGTTCATGCTAGCCCACCCTCCAAATCCAAAGCCAACAATGAATACCCATACCACAATAAATGTGTTCACCACATACATTGCTGTCCAGCTCGGCAGAAAGAATGGAGGTTTCTCTGCTGCATTCTGTACAAAAGATATTAGAATGTGTTATGATCCCACATTGGAACTAAAAAGGCTTGGCGTTTTTAATATAAGTCTTTTGAACACTCTCTCCTTGCAAGTCAGTTTTGAAGATTGAGTTCTACCCAAAGGGCTTGTATCATTTGGTAAGATAGTTAGCCCCAGAGGGGGTTACTTACAGGCTTGGGATTTATGTTCAAGATGTGGACATGCAACGATTTTCTAATGTGGTGTGCTTTTTTACTAGAGTAAGAATGTGCTTGCTACATAAATATGAACGATAAGGATATGCCACCAAACTTACCTTATCTATGAGGGTACAACTGTAGTGACATTTGAAGTAACCTTAAAGTCAAATTCAAGAAAGCTACAACTAGTTACCAATTAGTCACCACATAAGAAATCACCACAAACTATTATTGGTTATGTTTGGCACCTAGAATAGAGCACAAAAATAATCAAATCAAGGTGGATGATGGTGGCGCCACTAGACAATGCCATTAGGGTAGTAGGTTCAAATGAAGATGTGAATTGAGGAAGATTGAACAAATTACCTGTCTAGCTGAGGCCGTTCTATAAGTGAACATATGAGCAAGAGAAGGGATAATGTAGATCGCAAAGCTGACCAATAGTGCCCCCACGGCAGAGTTGATAGGCCCGAAGAACGGGAAAATAATGGCCAAGAACCATATTGGTATAACCACCGGCAACCTCACAAGTGCCCTTAAACATATGCTCTTTGTGTCATGCATGCCAATCACTTTCTCCCACACAAAATACAGTGGTGTGCAAGCAAATCCAAATGTAATAAACTGCAAGAAACAAGTTAAATTGGCGGTAAAAAAAAAAACACATCATCACTAAAAGTGCAATTTCTTGTAATGCCATGGTGTAAATTCCCTAGTTCCTTTTTTTGGGTAAGTATAAATTCCCTAGTTCCATTGGCTGATGCAAGTAGTCAAGTTGATTAACACGAGATGAAGGGAAGACCTGGTGAATGAGCATTAGGATGACAGCTACATCACGAAATCGTGTCCGTGGAAGGAGTGAGAAAGCATTGGAATGGTTAAGGAGTTGGTCACCAAACGCCCAATAGACAGCAGAAGCTGACGGAATTGTTAGGGTGAATACATAGAGTGTGGCAAACAAATATATGTACTTGAATTTTTTAGGCTTCCACATTGCATGAATGATTTCCCTGTAAAACATTAGGTCCCCTAAATTATTCGTCATCACAAACTTTTAAGTTTAAAATTTTCCGCTCCAAAATCAATGAAAAGAAGATAATATGTAAATGATTTCACATGTTTTTAGTATGGTTGTGAATCACAAGACCTTTACAGAAACAAAGACATGATAGTTTCACGACTGCACCCATGGGAATCTGTTTGATTTCTATGATTAATCAAACATGCCAAAATTAGTATTTCCACTTAATTATTTACGAGAAAGAGAGAAAAAGAACAAAAGAATATATGGATCGAAACTTTGTAATACTTTGAAATTGAACATAATTAACCTAAACTAGCAACACAAGCAACTTTTTGATTCTATTTTTTGCTGCATGCTCCATAGTCAAAAAATTAGCTATGGCCAGAAGAAGAGTGCGATGACCAAAGAGGGGTTAAAGTTAAACAAAGACTGTAATTATTTTATATGATTAGTCTTGTAACTCAAATAGTATGATGTAACTTAAATAGTACTTGATTAGGCTCACAACCTTCACATTTAGATTAAAGTTCTCTTCTTGTCTTGTTTATGAAAACAAAAACAGAAACAAAAATGAAAAAAACAAACAAACATACAAACAAAACAAAAAACAAGAGAAAGAAATGTTGAAAGCAAAGTTTCAATATTTATTGAAGTTAAAGAGTAGACACATTTGTTTCGGAAAGGCTACTACTATATGCACCCTTTTTGGGGAGCACATGGTATGCACCTTATGCAAAAAAACATAACTTTTATTATAGTGTGCAACTTTTGTCACAAAAAGTCAAACTTTTTTATTCACAAAAAAAAGATAATTAGTTATATATAACTTTTAAATGCACATTATAATTTCACTATTCATAACTTTCATTAAAAATTATAATTTTTATCACAAAAATCGTAGTTTTTCTTACAATATGCAAGTGCACATCGTAGCATTTTCAATTATTAAAATCACTTACACAGTTATGGCATGTCCACCGAAAGTGTAGAGTATATTTGTGGCACCTGTGAAATACAGTACCAACTTCTTCGGGCCAGAGTGATTTACTCCTTCAACCTATGAAAAAAGAAAAAAAGAGTAAAATAAATCAGCAACTGAGATACTTTACAAATAAGGGTTCTTTTATACAAATAAGCATATCAACCACAGGAGAGAAAGGATTATAATTGAAAGTTGTGGAGGGCAGCTGTAAGTGAAAATTGGCTCTGAAAGTGAAAAATATCATTGAAATAAATTACCTGACCATGAACAAAGGATGCTATGGTTAGATACCAAGCAGTGTAGGTGGTCATGCCAAGACCCAAAAAAGACCAAATCCTATAGTTGTGATATGAGGGTATGAACACAGTGGTTGCACAACAAGCCCCAAATATGTATGTCCATGTCCTCTTATCTAGATTGTCATTTATGTAATATATATTGCTGTAATCGCCGGAAAAAAAAATAGAAATAAATTATCAATGAGTTAATAACACAAAACCCAATTCTAATTCCCTTTTTAATTTGAATAAGTAAATTTTCTGCAAAAAATTAAGGGAAGACTAACCTTGCACAAGCTATGAGTTGTATAACAGACCCAAATAGCAATAAGGTACAGTTGAAGCCCAATCCCACAGCTTTCCAGTACGGACCCAGCAAACCATCTAATACTTCAAACCACTGCATACATGCAAACATACATAATTAGGGATGACAATTTTTCTCCATCACGCTTTCAAGGTTTGTTTAGTCCGGGTGGATTTTTTCCGCGCTATTAAGCCTTCATTTGAAAAGTGGGTTAGGTTTTTGACTCTTTAGTTTTTTTTAACTATTTTAGTCTGGGATTAAAAAATCTGATTTGGAAAGGACTTTTGGCTTTCTTAGCTTTTTTGAATTTTTTGTGAAAGAAAAAATATAACGATCGTAAGTTTGATGTGATTTTTTATCTTATTAGGTTAAAAAGACTATTTTATTTTTTTTGCGACTAAAATAATAAAAAAAAATCCAAGTTTGGACTTCCCAAACGAAGGCTAAGGAAGTGCGATGAGGATGTGTTTTCCTACCCCCATACGGCCTCAATTATATTTTTATTATTTTTTATTAAAATTTTTAATTTTTAGTACTAAAATATTACATTTAACCCAAATTTTTATTTTTTATTACTCATCTTACATTTTTTAACTTTCTGTCACTTAATAATTATTATCCATAATATTCTATATGATGTCACTTTTATCATTCCTAACGTTGCCAAATTAATCCATTTCCGAACAAACATCTCCCGTTTACCCTCCATTTATGCTTTATTTGATTGAAAATTTTGAGAGGAGAAATAGAAAATATAGGTAAAATACAAATAAAATATATTTATATTTCACTTAATTTTATACATTTTTTTTTTCTTTTTTTCTTTTCAAATTGCTCAGCAAATCCTTCGACCAAACACAACATCAACGTGCATTCACAATAGAATGGTGTTGGGTCCTCAAAATTGATAACATTAGGAATTGTGGAGAAAACAAACAAACCTGTATGACATGATTTTTGAAGCAACCATTCTCTTTTTCCTTGCGAGTACGGTATTCAAGATAGAGAACACTGATGAGATAAGCAGTCCAGCTTCCAAGAATACCATAAAACACCTGTAATATGACCCCTGACACCATACCCAATTGAGAGAACGAGTATGGCAGTGTTAGCAGAACCTGTGCTACCTGCAATCAAATCAAACCCCAATTTTTGCTCAAAATTATTATCTTAGAAATCGATCAAATGTGTTACATGTAGGAAATACCTGATTTGATGCACAGTTAAACCAAGCATCATAAACAGAGCCACCATGCCAAACAAGGCTTTTGAAGCTACATATTGACTCATCTACCCTCTCCTCCTCTCTCTGATCATCATCTTGTTCAGTGTCTATGGCTGCTTCAGCTTGTTTCTGAGGTACCATTTGTTTCTTTTCTTTACTTCTGTAGAGATCTGAAACAACTCAAATGGACAAAGCAATTAACAAGCCAAAGCCGAAACAAAAGCAAACCCAGAACATGAAAAGTTATAAGTACTAGCCCAAAACTCGGATTGTTATGCTGCTTGGTTTAATAGGTCTCTTTTCTTGGGTGGGTATAAAACGCTGAAAAGGGAACTTTTTTTTTAAGGGTAAATTATGTAAATAGCCTCTAGTTTATATGACGTATCAATTTGACTTTTTGTTGTTTTAATTTGTTTGATTATATCTCTTAATTTAATAGATTGTGTCATTTTAATCTAATAAATAATGGTTGTTAAATTAATTTAACAGAAAGTCGAATAATGTGTCAATTTAGTCCTTGTAATTTCAATTTTCTCGATCTTGATAGGGACTAAATTGACACATTGTGAAAAATATAAGGACCAAATTGACACATTATTTGACTTTTTGTTAAATTAACTTAACAACCGTTATTTATTGGAATAAAATGACATAATCTGTTAAATTAAAAGACAAAATCAAACAAATTAAAATTACATAACTAAATTGACACATCATGTAAACTACAACAACTATTTACATAATTTTTCATATTTTGCATGGACAAATATATGTGTGTATGTACGTACGTATATACAGACCACAGTTGCTTTCTCACCAGTTCTCTTTTAAGAAAAAATCAGTTTAGATTTTTGCAGTCTTGCAGAGACGTATATACAGACCACAGTTGCTTTCTCACCAGTTCTCTTTTAAGAAAAAATCAGTTTAGATTTTTGCAGTCTTGCAGAGACTGTTCTTCGTTTTCAAAAAAGATAAATTCACTTCTTGGAAAGCTGGGTAAAAGATGATTTTTTCAGATTTTTAAAAGATGATTTTTTTTCTTTTTTTTTTAAATAAGTGTGTAAAAAAATAAAAAAACGTAATATAGCATAAAAAAAATTAAAAAATTGACTTTTAATCGTGCTGTCAAAATGAGCCTATGCCTCCGTTTGAGAAGTGGGTTGATTTTTTAATTTTTTGATTTTTTTAGATTTTTTAGTCTGGACTAAAAAATTTAATTTGGGAAAGACTTTTTGATTTTTTTTTGTAAAAAAAGAATATAATGATTATGAATTGAATATAACATTTTATTTTTTGTGATTAAAATAATATATTTTATCTTTTAAGGCTAAAATAGTCACTTAACCCTTCCCAAACAATGCCATGTGTATTCCGTTGCGGGGAAAGTCAATGCCACGTATTTGAACAGAAATTTCAAAGTCATGATTTTGATTGCTTTGTTGGAGCTCTCTTCCCTTTCTTTACTCAGCGCTCCTTCAGACTCCCGCGTCAGGATCCTCTAGAGTTAACGTCTTGGAGTGATCTCCTAAAGAACTCCATCCAACGGCTGAAATCATACCTCACCAAAACGACGTCGTTTTGGTGAGTAATTTTAAAAAAAAAAAAAAAAAAAACGCAGCTTTAATTCAAAACATTTCCTGCAAATATGAAGCATGAGAGAGAGAGAGAGAGAGAGAGAGAGAGAGAGAGAGAGAGGGACATAGCCGCTCCCCCCCGCCGCTGCCGCTGCCACGACGCTGCCCCGCCATAGAGGGGGTGACTCATGTTATCTCCATTCTTCCGATTGTAAACAAAAAAAAGAACTCTGTTTTTGGCATAGTTTTTTCTTTGTCCATAAACTTGTTTCAATTAATCAAGAGAGTAAGAGATTATTTTCATTATTATTTTCAATACCCAAAAATGGCTTCAGAGAAGGGACAATTGATCAGTTGCCACACCGTCGACCAGTGGAACAACCAGCTCCAGACGGCCGAAGACTCCAAGAAATTTGTATTCTAACTATTTTTCTCTCTCTGTTTTTTTCTTTTTTGATTTATTTTTACACTTTTTTTTTTGTATTTCAACCCATGTAAAATTTATTTTTTGTTCTTTTAATTAATCACTTGTTGGATTGATGTTTGCTTTTTAGTTAATGGGTTTGATTTTGATTGGGTTTTTAGCACTTCTTGTTTTTATTGTTTTCAAGTACTTTTTTTATTAGAGTTTTTCATGGGAGAAGTTATTATTTTTTTGGAAATATAATTGACCATGGATGTGAGTATTTCTCTGTACATGGTCATGGTGGAATTCCCAAACCCACTTGATAATTTTTGGTTTCTCTTCCATGGAGTCAGTCTTGGACTCTTGGGGGTTTTTTCTTCTATCAACGGCGCGGCAGTGTCGGCGACGGGAGGGTGGGAAGGGGCTAATTGACACATCATGTAAACTACAACAACTATTTACATAATTTTTCATATTTTGCATGGACAAATATATGTGTGTATGTACGTACGTATATACAGACCACAGTTGCTTTCTCACCAGTTCTCTTTTAAGAAAAAATCAGTTTAGATTTTTGCAGTCTTGCAGAGATTGTTCTCCGTTTTCAAAAAAGATAAATTCACTTCTTGGAAGGTTGGGTAAAAGATGATTTTTTCAGATTTTTAAAAGATGATTTTTTTCTTTTTTTTTAAAAAATAAGTGTGTAAAAAAATAAATATAAAAAGTAATATAACATAAAAAAAATTTAAAAAATTAACTTTTAATCGTGTTGTCAAAATGAGCTTATGCCTCCGTTTGAGAAGTGGGTTGACTTTTTAATTTTTTAATTTTTTTAATTTTTTTAGTTTAGGTTAAAAAATTTAGTTTGGGAAGGACTTTTTGATTTTTTTTTAAGAAAAAAGTATAATAATTATAAATTAAATATGATATTTTATTTTTTGTGATTAAAATAATCTATTTTATCTTTTAAGACTAAAATAGTCACTTAACCCTTCCCAAACAATGCCATGTGTATTCCGTTGAGGGGAAAGTCAATGCCACGTGTTGAACAGAAATTTCAAAGTCATGATTTTGATTGCTTTGTTGGAGCTCTTCACCCTTATTTTGTCCCTCTCTTCCCTTCTTTACTCTCTTCTCCCAAAACTCTATTACACCCTTATTAATTCAGAAATAACACACAAATAATTTCTACCACACTCTATATATACTCCACACAAATTTTACACTATATAAATTAATTTTTATCACATAACTACTCATTCAAAAAATTTTGAATGGATAAATCTACGTCCCAGACTTTTCCTTCCACTATATAAATTAATTTTTATCACATAATCACTCATTCAAAAATTTTTGAGTGAATAAGTCTAGGTCCCAGACTTTCCCTTCCGCTCTCATGTTATCTCATACTCTCTCTCTCTCACTTGTCAATTGTCTCTCATGTACTCTCTCTTCTCTCAATTTTTTCTTTTATTTTTTAGTTTATTTTTATTTAAATAAAATATATAACTTTTAAAGCATAAATTTAATTTGTATAAAATTAATACCGTTAAAAAGATGTTGACGATGCCTTTTAAAAAAAGACTAATTTAAATGTATTTAATAAAAAAAAATAATTATAATAAGATGCAATGGTGATAAGAACCTATGAATAATAAAGTATCTAAAATTACTTGAATAATTTTTTTTTTTTTTTCAGTTTTCAAGTGAAAAATTAAAAATAGAGGTGATCCGAAGTAAGTGACGTTTGTGTTTGATGTAATTATTATTTGTGTAAGGTGCAAGTTCAACATATGTCCAGTACAAATGAGATTTATATATAATAATATTTATTATAGTTTTTGGATCATTTAACTGGAAAAAAATGTGTATTTTACATTTATTTTTTCATAAAATTGCATGCCTACAAATCACTATTTTAGTGAATTACATGTTTAATTTGAAAATTGTGAAGAATGATAGCTTATCAAACGATCATTTTGTCATTTTAAATTATTTACAGTGGCAATATTAAATTTGAAGTATATATATTTTTTAAATTATTTATTTAAAGTATATTTTATTTCATTTTACAAAGACCATTTTTAATTTTATTTCAATAAAACATTAGAAGTATATTTCCATTTATGATTTTGCTAATACAAAAAGAAAAAGAAAAAAAAAAGGAGTAAGAGAAGCCTATTATATATCATGAGATTAATTTACACATGTTTACAAAAATAAAAGAAACAAATTGTATATACTTGAGGATTAATTTCGTCATATAACTTGTTAATCCGGAGGTTGGCCCCTTCCGTCCATTTCTATCTCACACCCCCTATGGGATTAAGCTATTCCACATATGAGAGATTATTAGCCCGAGCGGACTATTAGTTCGGCCTTAATTTTTCCGACCAAAGATTAGGCGCCTGTTTGCTAATGTTTACATTTATTGCTTTCTGCTTATATTTTATAGAATTTTTGAAAATTGTAAATAAAAACTTGTTTGAATTCTGTTTTCATTTTCAAAAAATTGTAAACAAAATTTTGTAAATCACAAAAAAGTTGGTTTCGGTTTCTATTTAACTTTTTTTTCCGGTTCTTCTTCTTTCTTCCATTCTTTCTTACTACCAACAATTGATGTCCCGTCCTCGCCTCAATTTTATTTATTAAATATATTTATATAATTTAATTTTTTAATATAATAAATTTAAATATTATACTTAATATTCATAATAAATCATTTATTTACCATATTACATCTTTTAACTTTTATAAATTATAAATTATAATCTATAATATACTACATACCTTGAATTTTTATTAATTTTTTATTTTCAAAGTTACAAAACTAACCTATCCCCGCCCTTGATATAATATGGGGCGGGAGTAGAGGATGACAAATGCGCTCTACACTCATCTCGTTGCCATTCATTCTCATCGTTTTTGGCTACCATCACTAACAATGACTTTATTTGTCAATCACATTCGGCCACCACATCCCTCAATCTCTAACCACCTTCCGTTGCCACCAACCACCTCTTACTAGTGGTAACCATATTTGACCAACACTTTTTATTGAAAATTACTTTTAACTATCACTTTAGGCAGCTAACCAGGCACCATCTCCGATCATTAACAATTACTTTCGACCAACATTTCTTGTGACTAATAACCACCTCTAGTCATTGCCAATTGTCTCTTATCGGTAACAACCATTTTTAACCATTACCTTTCGTTGCCAACAATCACATCGGGCCACTATTTCAAACCATCAACAATCACCTCCCGTAGCCCGATTTTCACTTGTTTTCTGTTGGAAAATAATAAGTTTTTGGTGACTTTAATACAAAATTAAA